CCTCTGTGTGATGACTATTTGGTTCTTGCTCATTTTTCTATTGGGTTCTTTGTGTTTTTTAAATTAATCTGTGAGAGCTCATTATATTTTATGGATATCAATCCCTTTTCACTTTTGCAAGTTGCAAAGATCTTCTCCCAGTTCTTGGTTTGTCATTTTACTCTTTATGTTGTCTTCTTTTTTTCCCCTTAAAATTTTTTCATTTGTCCATTTCGTATAACATAGCCACAATGGTAAAATTTAGATCAGGGGTTGGCAAACTGTGACCTACTGCCTGTTTTTGTAAATAAAGTTTTATTAGAACACAGCCACACTTGTTTACATATTGTCTATGACTGCTTTCACACTGCATATGTTGTCTTTTGAAGAAACAAAGTTGGTCATTTTAATGTAGTCAAGGTTATCAATCTTGTTTGCGCTTTCTGTGTCTTATTGAAGAAATTCTTCCCTAGAGTAAGATCATGAAGATAGTTTCCTGTGCCATTGTGTAAAAGTTATTTATTTTGACTTTCACATGTGAAGTCTTTAAACAGTTTTATTTATTTATTTATTTATTTATTTATTTATTTATTTATTTATTTATTTATTTATTTTTTGTGAGGAAGATCAGCCCTGAGCTAACATCCATGCTAATCCTCCTCTTTTTGCTGAGGAAGACCAGCTCTGAGCTAACATCTATTGCCAATTCTCCTCCTTTTTTTTCCCCCCCCAAAGCCCCAATAGATAGTTGTATGTCATAGTTGCACAGCCTTCTAGTTGCTGTATGTGGGACGTGGCTTCAGCATGGCCAGAGAAGCGGTGCGTTCGTATGCGCCTGGGATCTGAACCTGGGCCTGGGATCTGAACCTGGGCCGCCAGTAGCGGAGCGCACGCACTTAACCACTAAGCCACGGGGCCGGCCCCCACATGTTAAGTCTTAATTTACCTGGACTTGGTTTTAGTGTGTGGTGTAAGAGAATGATCCAATTTTTATTTTTCTACACTCTTAATTATTCTGATTTTGTCTGAATATTGAGAAGGGTTAAGACCCATACAGAAATGTCACAAACATTTCTTGGCAATTTGTTCTTCCATATACATCTTAAAATCAGCTTATGAAGTTCCATGAAAATTCTATTGGTGTTTTGGTTATAAGTGTACTGACTTTATAGACTAATTTAGGGAGAATCATTATCTTTACAATATTCCTATTAACGAATATGTATATATTCATAATATCCTTTTATATTTAATTGCTGCTGCATCAGAGTCATTACTGTTTTTTATTCCTAATATTGTTTATTTGTCTTCTCCCTCTTTTTTTGATTAGTCTTATGGAAAATTTATCTACATCGTTAGTTTTGTTTTTTTTGGCTGAGGAAGATTCACCCTGAACTAACATCCGTGCCAATCTTCCTCTATTTTGTATATGGGTCACCACCACAGCATGGCCACTGACAAGTGGTGTAGGTCTGCGCCCGGGAACCAAACCTGGGCCGCCAAAGCAGAGCATGCTGAACGTAACCACTAGGCAGGCCCCCTGTTAGTGTTTTTTATTTGGTTTTTTTTGAGAAATTACTTTTTATTGTGGTAAAATATACAAAATTTGACATTTTATTTACAATTAATATAGTTCTCTGGCATTAAGTACATTCACAAATTGTTTGTGCAAGAAGCAATTGCCATTGTTGTGCAACCATCACCAACATTCATCTCCAGAACTTTTCATCTTTCCAAACTGAAATGCTGTACCCATTAAACTCTAACTCCCCATCCTCCTACCATGAGCCCCTGGCCACCACCATTTTACGTTCTGTCTCTATGACTTTGTCTACTACTCTAAGTATCTCATATAAATGGAATCATACAATATTGGTCCTTCTGTAACTGGCTGATTTCACTTAGCATAATGTCTTCAAGGGCCACCCATTTTGTAGCATGTGTGAGAATTTCATTCCTTTTTAAGTCTCATTAATAGTCCATTGTATGTATATAGCATATTTTGTTTATCCATTCATTTATCGATGGGTGCTTGGGTTGCTTCTACCTTTTTGCTATTGTGAATAATGCTGCTATGAACATGGGTGTACAAATATCTGTTTGAGTCCCTGCTTTCACCTCTTTTGGGTTCCATTCAATTCAATTCCATTCCAGAAATGGAATTTCTGGATCATATGGTAATCCTACGTTTAATTTTTTTGGGAACCACCACACTATTTTCCACAGCTGTATCATTTTACACTCTCAGCAGCAATGCACAAGGGTTCCAATTTCTCCACATCTTCACCAACACCTGTAATTTTCCATGTGCATGTGTGTTTTTAACTAGGCATTCTCATGGGTGTGAGGTGGTATCTCATTGTGGTTTTGATTTGGATTTCCCTAATGTGTTAGTTGTTTTAAAGAACCAAATTTTGTCATTTACTTTTATTGTATATTTGTTGTCTATTTCGTTATATTTAATTCTTCCTTCCATTACTTCTCCTGGGTTTATTACGCTGCTTTCTCTTCTTAAATCAGATGCTGTTGTTGAAGTAAGGACTGCAGACCTAAATTTTTAACTTAGGACAGTTGTTTAATAGCCTGCACAGAGCAAAGGAACACACAGTCCACAAGAAGACAGCTCTACTTGTTGCCCTCTCAGATCCCTGAAGTTACAGCAATTCTTTTCTACATGTTTATGTGGATAATAGAGACAGAAATAGCCCAGTAACACAGGTCAGCCCCTGGGGTCCTACTCTGAGAAACATCTTTCTCTATTGTTAAGGGTCTCTTTTTTTGTTCTGTCGTCAGGAGTCTGGAGCTTGTGGGTAGGAGTTCTTGTGATACAGAGGAGGGCTTTGGAAAAAGTTACCGTATGACATGGAGGGGATGTAGTCACTTCTGGCAGGTCAGGGGTGAGTGGAGTCCTCATCTATGCATGACTCATTAAATTAGGGGAAAAAAGGCTCCAAATTCAGCCTTTAAAGTTTTGATATATAGTATTCCTTTTATTATTCAGGCCCAAGTAATTTTTTTTTTTTTTTTTTTTTTTTAAAGATTTTATTTATTTATTTTTCCCCCAAAGCCCCAGTACATAGTTGTCTGTCACAGCTGCACATCCTTCTAGTTGCTGTATGTGGGACGCGGCCTCAGCATGGCTGGAGGAGTGGTGCCTTGGTGCGCACCCGGGATCCGAACCCGGGCCGCCGGCAGCGGAGCGCACGCACTTAACCGCTAAGCCATGGGGCCGGCCCAGTAATTTCTAACTTTTATTATTTTTTTTATTAGTAAGTTGTTTAGAAGTTTGGTTTTTAATTCTATGTGGGTTTTTTCTTTCTCTCTCTCGAGAAAGTTTGCAAGTTATACTTTCTATTCTTTTAGTAGTTTTCTTAGCTATTTAAATACATTTACTTAAAGTCCAAAGTTAAACACAGCCTCTTTTCAAATGGAACCATAGCATACATTAGCTGATTACTATCCCTCCTTGCTAATTTATAATGCTATTTTTATTCAGCATTTTAATTCTATTGTTTTTAATACCACACATTAGACATCCTTTTTACTGTTTTATACAGTCACTGTATGTTTAAGTATACCTACATACTTACTAATATCTTAGCTTAATAATCCATCTTACTTCTTAGATCTTCCATCTGGGATCATTTCCTTTTCTTATCTGAGTACATCTTTTAGAATTTGGAGGTTGGTTGGCAGTAAAATTCCTGTTTTTACTTTCCTTAAAATGTCTTTACTTCATCTTTTTTATTGATATTTTTACTACATATAAAAATTCTAAAAATTGACAGTTATTCAATTCTTAGCCAACTGAAGATATAATTCCACTATCTTCTGGATCCTAATGTGTTCTTAAAAAGTCAGCTGTCATTCTAAAAGCTCTTATTTATCTGTTTTGTTTTTCTTTCTGGCTGCTTTTAATATATTTTTTTGTTTGTTTAAAGTTCTGTTTCGTCATTAAATACCTACTTGTAATTTTCTTTTTATTTCTTCTGCTTGAGATTTATTGGGCTTTCTGGTTCTTAGGTTTACTACCATTCAACAATTCTGGAACTTTTTCTTTTCCTTCTCACCTTTACAGTATTTCCTTTTGAAATTCTATTTAGAGCACCTTAGGTCATCCTCCTAGTTTCTTAATCTCATTTTACATTTTCTCTACTTTTTGTCTCTTTGAGCCATATTCTGGATTATTCAGATCAATTTTCCAGTTCACCAGTGTTCTCTTCAATGGTCTCTAATCTGTTTAATCTATTGAATTTTTAATTCCTATTTTTATGTTTTTCATCTCTAGAAGTTCCATTTGCTTATTTTCAAAATCTATGCAGCCATTTTTATAGTCTCTTGTCCTTGGTCATATTTTCAATACTTTTAAAAACATTTCTGAAACATGTTAAAATATTTATTTATACTTTTGACTGAAAAATTCAAGAATGAGGTTATCTACAGGTCCGACTCTGCTCTCTGTTGTTTCTGCTGGCTTTTACTCATGGTAATGGTTTCCTTGTGTTCTAAGTGAAAGTGGCCTTTCTCCAGAGGGGATTTCTCTTTATTTCTGAGAGTCACTCAGGGTTGTTTAGGATATTTACATGCCAATACGGTATAAAGGAATACCTATTGTAATGTTTCTCTCCTTTCTCAATGTTTCTCAAAGGAAACAACTTACCAATGGATTAAAATCAATGCTGGGAGCATTTGCTATAACTCTCATCAAGAGAATCACAAATTGGATTATTCCCACTTTGGAAGATAGAAAGGAAAAATATGAGAAAGATATGCTGCTGAAATATCTTACAAATCAAATTCTTTACCACTTGCATCTAGGTTCAATTTAAGGAGGATTTCTATTTGACTGTGAAAGTACCTCTACTAAGAAATGTAGTCCCTTCTGCAGTTTGGTTCCTAACCACCCCTCTCAGCTCTGCTATAAATCTTGAATGATGAAAACTGCACGATTATTATTTATTTCAGTGACATCGTGAGAGACTGCTTGAGGAACAACCCTACAATCACAGAAATGCACAGACCTGTGAGGGTCATCTGGATCACAGTTAGGAAGAAACTGAGTGAGTGCTTCCGCCACTTCTTCATTTGATAAGACGTCCCAGAGTCCATCTGTGGCCAGGATCAGCACGTCGTCGGCTCCATGCTCATATGTGGAGAGATCGTAGACTCTTACCTGAAAAGAACAGGAATACTCCTGCTTAAGAAGCTGGGAGCATATTATTCCCTCTAACAAACTGGCTTCTGATCTCCCTTCCCTTTTCCTGCCTAGCCTAGCAAGCTTTGTGCTCAGAGGTGGCCTCCTTTGGAGACTTGCTGTACAGACACATGGGGCCCAGAAGGTGGGTTTAGCAGTTGACAAGGAAGAAATTAATTGAAAATGTAATGCCTGAGATGACGCAGGAACAATGACTTACAATAAATACTGTGCTAGCCAGAAGGAAGAGCCGCCAGAGGCTTGATTCCTTCCTTGCTTTGCACATCCATTCCACAAACATTTATTAAGGGCTTGCTCTGTGCCAGGTGCTCTGAGTATGAAGATGAATAGATTTCTCTGTTTCTGAGCTCTCAGTCTGTGGGGGAGACAAGGCCAGGCTAAGATCCTCAGCAGTTGCTCTACATGTATTTGTCTAGGACTAAGGAGACACACTTTGTTTAATGCACTCACAAGAGTTAGCTTTTGGCTTACCCATTTGAGGCCCAAGGGGCCAGACTCATCTCACATAAGGATGGGGCTCTGATGCTATACTCAGGTTTGAGGAGCCTCGATCTAGCCTAAATTACAAAGGATACATACTAAGTCTGACTCTCCAAAGTGTGTCTTGGCAAACTTTAAGTCTTTCCTCATCCCTAGTACCTGGAATGACTTGGATATTTCAACATCACCTAAACTCTTTGAAAAGAACAGAGCAACCTTGGCAAAGCTAATAAGAATAAAAATCAAGCCTTATTTGGGTTAGGCCACCACTCTCTGTTCACCCACCTTTGGCAGGATGGAGAGAGGAAGAGTGGGGATTTCATTGCTATTCTCTACTAAGTTGGCAGCACCAGCCCCTGCCTCCACCACCTCCTGAGCAGAGGACAAAGGCAGGTCAATGTCATCAATCTTCTAGCTCCTTCAACACCCCTCATGACTCAATCCTATTTTCTAACAGCAAGACTGAATGAGAGCTGTAGGCCAGGGGAGAGGGGGCGGGGAGGAAGGAGGATGCAGTGTAAGCAGCTGTGGGCCCCATCACACACAGTCATCATTATGTCATCTCAGATCTGGAGAGAATACAATTCTAAGAGGCCTGCAGACTGTTCAAATCCACATCTTTGAAAGCCAAGCGTCCCATGTTTTATAAAGGTTTGCCCAGGCCAGTGATGCCCTGCCACAGGGCTGGTCCTATGGACTGACAGCCTGCACCCAGCAGCAGAAAACAACAAAATGCCCCATACCTACACACAGAGCCCTTGGGAAATGAGCTCAGATGAAAAGCAGCCTCCGGGTGCCAGGCCTCTGTGGCCTGTGAACTAGATGGTCACAATTAGCTAATGGCCCAGTGCATGGGAGGAGCATCAGGGGTATAATGGACTGGCTTTTAACACTTTCTCAAAAGGCATGTTCACTTCAAGATCAGTCTACATTCTAGAGAAGGCACTGTGCCTTATGAGGCCAAATCGAAAAAAACAAGAGGGGGGATCTTAAGCTTACAGCAGACCGGAAAGTCCCAAATGCCAGAATTCTATTCTCAGGCCACTGAACTCATGTGGTCCAATTTTCACTCTACAGATACAACCAAATCCCCTTTGCTTTATTTTCTGTGGTTCCTGAGTGTCTTAGAGCAGTGCTTCTCAAATGTTAATGTGCATAGGAATCAGCCAGGGATCCTGCTAAAAGGCAGATTCGAATCCAGCATTTCTAACTTGCTGCCACGTGACGCTGATGCTGCAGGTCCATGGACCACATGAGCACCATGGTCATAGAGGATCCCTACCGGTCTGTATCAAGGAAATCAAAGGCTCAGTGGTGTTGAGATGCCTATATAGACTATCCCCTAGGGTAGGCTTTAGAGAGAGTGTGGATGTCACTCCTGGGCTCTCAACTTCAAGTCCTGGCTCACTGTGTTTGTTACTGGGAGTAACAAACTAACTTGGCTTCAGAGAGACTGCTAGCATCTTACTGGGGTACATCTACAACACGTTTCTGTGATCATTTGAGCTCCACAGGATAGAAAATGTTAAGTAAAGGGAAACGTGAATGTCCGGTGGCCCAAATTCATTCTTGCAGCTAAAGAGGAAATTCCATCTGCCTTCCAGCTCCTTCTAAAAGAGAGGTTTCTAATCTGAAGATAACATCCATTTAATTTCAGGACCAGCCCGCGTATAGGGTGCCAAAATCTCTTCAAGTGCTTTCTGCTGGCCCCCAACAAGTGGAGATTTGCGTTGTTTAACCTGAAATTGTCCTGCCCACTACTCAAATGGAAATCGGCCAACAGAATGGGTGTGGGTTGATAAACAGAAACATGTTAGAAAATGCTCCTCTCCAATTGTCAATAAATTGAATCCTTCCCCAGTTCCCCTCTTCACATTTCCACACACAGCGCTCTAATGCAGTTTCATTAGCCAACATGAAAATCCTTTTCAATACCCTTCTCCAACTACTTTTTATGTAAATAATAAAAAGCTGGTCTCAACCCTATTCCCTGAGGCACTCCCCAATTAACATCCTTTTAGGTTTTTACTGCTACCCTTTATTTCCTGCCCTTTAGCCAATTTCCAAAGGACTCTGCCAACTTTCCACTTACAACTCGTGTCTTGTACATTAACCTGTGATGCAGAACATTTTGTGAAAATGCTTTCAGAAAAATTGGACCGCAGCGCAAGACATCCTCCTGCACGCTCGTCCTCGCCAGCGGCAAGGGCTTCAAAGGATTCCAGCGGGCTCTGGAGACCTGACCTGCCCTCCCTGAAGCTGCTGTGGGCCCTCCTCAATCAGACCACAACTCGCCTCCCCAAAGTTCCCTGTTCAATTCCTTAAATAGCTGCTGAATGTTCCGGGAAGCTTCACATCAAATTAATGGGCTCTGTGTCTCCAGGACTCAGACATCAGGAGGCGAGTCTGCGGGCCAGGGAGGGGAGAGGGGTACTGCACAGACGCCTCGGTCTGGAGGGGAGCTGGAGAACACGGTCAGGGCTCCTGGTGGCTCCTTCTTGTGTTCCCACCTGCCAAGAAAGGGAGAGAGAGGCCACAGGAATCCCTGAGACTCTTGCAGTTTCTCAGAGCAATATAATGTGAGCAGCTGAGAGACGGGGCCTGTCTGGATCTCTGTGCCCTCCTAGAGCCTTCGTTCCATGCTTCCTGAGCACTTGTGATGTGCCCACTACTTTCCCAGGCACTGAAGATCCAGCTGTGAACAAAGGTGACAAAGTCCCTCACAACTCCTACACTAGTAGATGAGGCAGACACACAAATAAGTTGCAGTGTCAGAAGACGATAGGTGCTCTGAAGAAAAATCAGGCAGGGCAAGGAGAACGACGAGAGTCATTTGAGACAATGTGTTTATGGTGGCCTCTCTGGGAAGGCACCGTTTGAACAGAGATCTGACCAAGTGAGGTCCCGTCTTGTGCCTCCCTTTCCCTCCCTCGGGGACCTGTCCCTCCTCTGGATTAAGAGCGTGTGGACACAGTGTTAGACTGCTGGTGAAGAAGAAGCCCTGAGGGGAGCGATGCCACCCTCTGCTGCCAAAGAAATCCAGAGGGAGAACAAGGAGCAGCGTCTTTCCTTCCACCCCCTGGTCCTCTGCAGTTACAATCCTTTCACGTCCACAAACACAGTATTTACCTATTTGTGCCAGTCTGGGTTTGACTGTCTGTCTCTTCCACAAGATTAGCTCTTCTCAAACTTGAAGGTGTTTAAGAATCACGTGGGGTGCTAATTAAATATATTAAGATTCAAGGGTCCACCCTTAAAAGTTCTGATTGAGTAGTCTGAGCCCAGGCACCAGCCTATTTAAACAAGGGCCAGGTAATTCCAATGCGAGTGGTGGAGGATCCTCACCTTGAAAACACTCTTTGTAACAGGTGACAAGCTTCTCTCGGGGTGAGGGTTGAGCTGTCCCAGCACAGAGCATAGAGTCGAGCATGTGGCAACCACTCAGTATATAACTAAGGGCAGCATTTCCTTGGTTGCAACTCACCCAGTCCTGCTTACAGAGAACACCCAGTGAGTTTGTCATCTTATCTTCCCTCCCATATTCAACTTCTGGAGGCCAGAGATCCCATTTTGCCTTTCTCCTGTGGGCCTAGCAGTATCTTTCATAGCATAAATCACAATAGGTCATCAGGATGTACTTGCTGAGACAAAGAATAAATGGCGGAAGAAGAGAGGAAGAAAAATTCAATGCTGAAGATCCATTCTGAAGAACCCCTAATCTCATGGTGACCCAATAGATTTAACTTGTTAACTCCAACACTCCCAAGTGTCACCAAAATGTAATGCGCTGATGTTTAACAGAAGTAGCAGACTCTTTCCCTTTCTTCCCCTGTCTGCAGTGGAGCAGCTAACAAACAAGACCACTCAGTGTTAGGGAGGGAGCAGGAACAGGTCTTGAGGCTTGCAAGAGCCTTGGCTAATGTGCCCCTGAATGAGCCAAGCGCTGACGGCTCTCGCAGGGCACTTGGCTGCAGAGCACTCAGAGATGTCCCTAATGTCATCGCCGGGCACCTATTTTACATGGGAGCCTGTGACAAGCAACTCTATATAGCACTGCCACTTAGTGCTCGGCCGCAGGCTGCTGTCTCAGCGTCTGTCTAATACGTGTTCGCATCTTTGCTCTATTACTTGTGGAATTTCGGTGGCCTAAGAGAGCTCATACGACTATAAGCTGATGCTAGCTTCCTGAAGATACTTTTAAAAAGAATCCATTAATTCTTCCGTTTGCCAAAGCTCAGCTGCTTCTCTAGGACGCCCTCACAGCTTTCACATCTTTATCAGCTCAGCAAATTCTCCAAACCTTTCTTCCCTTGAAGCACTCAGCGTAGGACGATGCAGGCCTGCAGCTCAGGCCTGGCTTTCTGGAGGAACGGGAGCCCCGCTGTTGTGATCAGAAGCCCTCACCTTCAGCTCGCTGCTTCTCACCAGCTTTGGGACTTGAGACAAGCCATTTATTTTCTCTAGCTCTCAATTTTCTC